ACATGATCACCCCATAGCAGATCTATACAGGTGGAGCTGGGGAAGGTGGAGGGTTTCTGGAGTGCACTGCAAACTGCTGCCACAAACATTAGCTAAGTATTTGAATGTTGAGCAGCGAGCTCATTGGCTACCGATGCAGGAGAGCTCCTCCTCATCAAGCTGTGACATGTGATGATGATGTCATTATGTCATACTGAGTTAGATCTATCAGACTGCGCCATCTAGAGTTTCATGCCAGAACTTTGTATTTGGGTAAGGTAGCTGTTAAGTTTAGGTATGGGGTAGGGTTAAGGATGTAAAATATGGTCATGCAGAATGTGCTTTATAAGTACTAATAATCAGCCAATATTTTAATAATATTTTTTTTATACAATAAAAATATTGTATAAAACAATATTTTAATTTTGAATATATATATATATATATATATATATATGAAAGAACCATTTACCGGATCATCAAAAACTTCAAGGAGAGAGGTTCGACTGCAGTGAAGAAGTCTATAGGATGTCTCAGGGTGTCCAGTAAGCGCCAGGACCGTCTCCTCCTGAGGAGTCAGCTATGAAATCGTGTCACCACCAGTGCAGAGCTTGCTCAGGAATGGCAGCAGGTTGATGTGAGAGCATCTGCACACACAGTGAAGCCAAGACTTTTGGACAATGGCCTGGTATCAAGAAGGGCAGCTAAGAAGTCACTTCTCTCCAAGAAAACCATCAAGGACAGACTGAAATTCTGCTGTAAGTACAAGGATTGGACAGCAGAAGACTGGTGCAAAGTTATTTTCTCTGATGAAGCTCCCTTCCGACTGTTTGGGACACAATGAATCTCTTATTTACACCCTGTCTACACTTTGCTTATGAAAGGATTCGTGAGATATGTCTGTGATACATTACTCAACGCTGCAAAATCACGTAGAAACCTTTGAAGCTCCCCTCGGCGATCACAATCACAAGTATGATGATGATCTGGTCAGTCGCACTGGTGCTCCTAAATATGTTTTCATAGTCGCAAGCAGTAGTTTTCAGTCGTAAATGCGACTGAAATGGTAGCACTGTAGAGCCCTGATTGTGATCAACTCCGAGAACTAATAAGACAAGAATGGATCGCCATCAGTCAGGATTTGGCCCAGAAGCTAATATCCAGCATGCCAGAGCGAATTGCAGAGCTTATGAAGAACAAGGGTCAACACTGTAAATATTGACTCATTAAATTTTTTGCCAATAAAAGCCTTTAAAAGGTATGATATGCTTATCATTGTTTTTCAGTATACCATAAAAACGTGGAAAAATAATCTACAGCAAACTTTGCAAAACACAAACTTTGTCACTGACAAAACATTTGGCCATGACTGTGTATGTATGTATATTTTGAATGTTTTTTCAAATATAATATACAGTGACTTTGTAATGCCCAAAATAAATAAATATTGTTTATTTTGTTTTCTTTGTATCTGATCTTGCAAATAGAAATACACATTTAAACTGCACTTGTACTTTTGAGCGTTCATAGGATTTGATTAATATACAAACATTTTTTCCATGTTACGATGCTTACGGTATCGATGCTTTTGGAAAATATGCCATAAGAATAAAGTGCTACTTACATACTACTAACATTTTTGCATAGTGCTGTGGGAAACCTAGAGAGTATCCAGCTCTGAATGGCTTGGTGACCCAGGCAACGAAACATCAGTGCCTTAATATGGTAATTTGTATTACAAAGCAATTTAATTAGAGGCATGGCACTAAATGGTAAAAGGCATCATTCATTGCCATGCTGACTATATTTTAAAAGAGAGGTCTCTTTCACTGAATGCCAGTGTGCTTTCAGAGTACATTTCTCTATTTAAGCAATGCCAGATGTACCATGCTAACTTAAACAGTGAAACTTCACTGACAGTCACTGATTTACATTTATTAATTTATCAGATGCTGTTATCTGGCTTATACATGAGGGAAAAAAACAGCAATTTATCAGAAGTCATTGCCAATAACATTTAGGGATAGGAACAGTAGTATTTTTATTTAGATTTTTTTTTTACATTGTCTTCCATAACTCAGAGACTGCTACAAAAACTGGAAATAAACACAAAGTTTTATGACTGAAAAGAAAAGAAGCAAATAAATATTAATTTTATTCATTAGTGGTCCCCACTATAAAAATATATGGCTTGACATAACTAGAAATATCATGTATAGGCCTAATCTTTGTTAAAATATCCATGGCATTTTAAGATTTTATTAATTATTAAAGGCATGACCAGGTTTTCCAAGACGGTTGTTCAGGGGTTAATTTTAAATATGAACTGTCTTGATTTGTTTTAGCTTTGCTTATTTTATTTTATATGAAGCCATTTTAAGTCATCTTAAGGCCCCTTTGGGGTTAATATTATGAAGCTAATATTGTGGTTTATAACAACTCTTTGTTTTGTGCAAAATAGGTTGCACATCAGTGCCATTACAACCACTTCAAATGTTGTCTTCTAATGCTCAAGCCATAAAAATCCCACAAACTTGTGTTTTTGAAGACGCTAATGATTCACACTCACTGCTTTAATAGTAAGCAGCTTTTTGCTAACTGCCAAGATCTCCATCATTACACACTTTTTATCTTACCAAAATGCTTCCTCTGAAAGCGTAATGTCCATTAATGAGGACGCTCCTCCTAATAAGGATGTAAAGTTGAGAGGATATGCTGGTGCCCAGCGGGATTTGTGGAGACACCACGGCTAATTTACAGCAGCATTAGGACTTAACAGAGAGGAAAGCTGGGTAATTTAATTGAAGCCCTTTAACTAGAACAAACATGCCTGTAGGCTATCACTAGATATGGCAGTGAAAAGACTGAGAAGTGTAATGCTGATGTAACCCCTCTCTCCCAGCTCCGGCATGGGAGGCGGACGCACTAACAAAGGAGGCTAAAGACTACAGCCACTAGCGTCAGTCGCTAGTGCATCTCTTGAGATCAGGGGAGTGAGGTTTACCTGCACAGCACCTACCGCTGGCCTCCGTTACACTCACCCCCCTAAACCCTCACTCCCATCTGGGTCACGGCACCAATGTCACCCCTCTCTCCCAGGTCCTCACTGCCACACCTCGTTCTTGTTCCGAGTGGGTCTCCGGCATGGGAGGCGGACGCACTAATAAGGAGGCTAAAGACTGCAGCCACTAGCGTCAGTCGCTAGTGCGTCTCTTGAGATCAGGGGAGTGAGGTTTACCTGCATAGCACCTACCGCTGGCCTCCGTTACACTCACCCCCCTAGTAGCACTATTAGTAAACTATTGTTTGAAATGTTTATCAGTTAAAAAAAAAGGATACATGTGCAGGAAGTATTGCAGTGTACTGTGCAGTATGCAGTATGCAAATGTAGCCGTTCATTCTGAACATAGCCTGTGTCTAACCTTAGGTTAGTCCATTTTTATACATTTTAAAAACGTTAAGAAATGAAAATGTATTTCTTTTGTTGTTGTTTACAAAGAGTGGCACACTTAGTCTTTGTCCATAAAGAAAAAAAAAGAATTTTGTTTTGTTTAGCCCACTAACAAACCCATTTTTGTTTTGCTTAGGCCATATACAAAGAGATAAAACAGCCCAGCGTGCCTTTAAAAATTTAGGCCATCACATCGGCAGCAAGGCTGATTTACGACTTCATTTATTGTTGTTTTGCTGTAGGGTGCTGGCTGTGAAAGGAATGGCTGAACTGTGGATGAGGAGCTAAGAGATGTGTTATTATTTCAGTGCCACTGAGGCAGCCAATATTTCTACAGATATAGAGAAAAAATAACATATTAGGATGTAAAAAAAGTCTAAGAAAACAAACAGACAAACTGCTAATGATTTCTTATTGCAGATAATGTGGCCTATTTGTAGCTGTTTATGAACATGAATATAAACAATTAAGCAGTTTTGCTATATTATGCTTTGAGTATACTGCATCTATGTGGGTAAAGTTGTATGTATATATACTGTACTTGTATATCCAACTTTATATACAGAGCTGTGAGATAATATAGTAAGGTACAGTATGTATATGGGTAAAGTTGGATATACTTATAGTAGTTGTTGGAGTTATTAATATATGTGGTATTGAGGATTATGAAACCTGTAATTCAAATTAATAACAGTTTGGGTTAGTAACAAGCCTACTATTTGGTGATGTGTCTCATTGTCATGGTTAAATGATGCACACAAGGTTAAAATTTTGATCATATCACCCACCCCAGTCAATTGAAAGTCATGGCATGACATAACACACTGTACATGGTTTATAAAATCTTTAGTTCACTAATGTGCAAGACACAGGCAACTGTGGCAAGGAATGAAAAACTATAGGTAATGTTAGATAATTGAGAGAGAGAAAAAAAAAACATTGGGAGAAAACCAGTCAACATAACATTGGCAAGTTTGGCTGATTTGCTCAAAATTTCTGCTTGATATTTAAATAAACCACACATAGAAAACAGAAATGAGTGCCCTTAAAGTAAAGAGCATCCAGATTGCTTGTTAAAAAATAATGCGTTTTTTTTTTTAACGAAGCATTAACACGTTAGACTGCACCCCATAAACACAATCAAGCCTAGAAAAAAAAACAGTGAACCACCCCTTTAAGGGTTTTGCACCGGCCAAGCAACTGCCATTGGCTTGTCACAGAGACAAGTGTCATTTCTCAGGACACCACCAACTTATATCTCCTTTAAATCGCTGCATCTTAGCAAAATGTATTGTATATCATCATCTTATGATACTCTTCTGTTTCCTCAGGGTGTTCAAGAAGGCTAGTCCGAATGGAAAGGTAATATTACATTCATTTTGTCCCTCCTTCATTTCTAACGGCAATGTTACTGTCAGTTGTTTTGATTCTGATCCTGCAGAGGTTTACTGTCAGTGAGTGCAGCACAGCCTGTTGTGAAATGGTTATGACTGAATAACCACAAATATTGAGCAACAAAGTACCTCTTGTTCCAAAATTTGATTTGATGCTTGCGACACGGTTAGCCAGGCGGATGGGTCCCAGCTCGCAATGGTTGTGCGGTTAGCATTTAGCCACGAGTCTATATGTATCATTAGCAGGGAGACGTGCGGTGCGCCGCAACAGTCCTTGAGCAGGAAGCGGGCGTGGGGCGAATATGAAAGAGGGGCCTACTGCAAAGCTGGGACAACACAACCATTACAGAAACATATATTCGAATTGGACAACTCTGTAATGGGCTTTGATAGAAAATGCAATAAAAAGACAATTTAGTGCTCATAACTTCATAGAAGCATTAATTTTGCAGGGGTTAATGAAAGATAACATGCACATTTTAGCTCAGTTCAACCTGTTCTGTCTTTGAATTGTTTTGTGTGTTGTGCTAATACTGTAATTTTATGATCGCCTTTTTTAGTTAACTGTATACCTTGGTAAGAGGGATTTCGTCGACCACGTGGATCTTGTGGAGCCTGTCGGTAGGCAATAAGATACATAATCTTAATTTATAGTTTCACTTTATGTAGTGAGCATGTTACATTGTAATTATATTGTAATTAACGTCATAAATATGTATGTGTACGTTGTAATTACACAATGAAGCTGCTTGCAAATACAGTTGATTAAAACGACTAATTTACTAATGTAAATGATTAAACTTACATTATTCAAACTTAAATTATTCATCAAAAAAAACATGTTAGCACTTCATTTTTTAAATAGAGTTTAATAGTTTGGATTAAAAATTAAAGTAATAATATAATAATCACAGCTAAGCATGTATAAATTTGACATTTTAGCTATAATGCATTTTTTGCTCTTGCAGATGGTGTGGTTTTAATTGATCCAGAGTACTTAAAAGAGAGAAAAGGTGAGATTTTTATTTTTTTGAAAGCGTCACAGTATAACAATAACCAAACTGAGACTTTGCTGAAGTTCCCAGCCTCACAGATGTTTCTCTCCTCTTTTTCACATTCCCCCTCTAAAATTTCAGAAGAGATCTCTGCATTACAAACTGTGCTTAGATTTGAAAGATACCAGCAATCATAAATGAGAGATCTCAGTACATCTGAACTCAAACCTCACTCATTACATCTGTCTCCGAGTCTAATATCCGAGCTGTGCTTTCTACATTAATTATATAGCTCTGTACACTTACTGCATGTCAATAATTTCCCCATTTGTTAATGGTTATCTTTCATTAGGAACAAGAAGTACAAAGTTGACTGTAAATCCATTAACCATACAGTTACTGAGAAGTTTAATTTAAATGTGACGTGACGTGACGTGACATGTGGCCAAGTATGGTGACCCATACTCGGAATTAGTGCTCTGCATTTATACCCATCCAAAGTGCACACACACAGCAGTGAACACACACAAACCGTGAACACACACCCGGAGCAGTGGGCAGCCATTTATGCTGCGGCGCCCGGGGAGCAGTTGGGGGTTCGGTGCCTTGCTCAAGGGCACCTCAGTCGTGGTATTGAAGGTGGGAGAGAGCGCTGTACATTCACTCCCCCCACCTACAATCCCTGCCGGTACGAGACTCGAACCCGCAACCTTTGGGTTATGAGTCCAACTCTCTAACCATTAGGCCACGACTTCCCCAAGTTTGTTCTTATTCTTCCTCAGTTTTTGTGACCTTGACGTGTGCTTTCCGCTATGGACGGGAGGACTTGGACGTTCTTGGCTTGACGTTTCGTAAAGACCTCTTTGCGGCCAACATCCAGGCATTTCCTCCCGTGCCTGAAGAGAAAAAGAGCTTGACACGTCTACAAGAGCGACTGATAAAGAAACTTGGAGAACATGCTTACCCCTTCACCTTTGAGGTGAAACTTCTTATTTTCTTGATATTGGATTCAGTTTTGATTAAATTTGGCCCCTTTGTCATATTTGTGCTACGATTTCATTCTCAACATTAAATGTCAAACATTTTCTCACAGATTCCTCCGAACTTGCCCTGTTCTGTCACGTTACAACCAGGGCCGGAGGATACAGGAAAGGTACATTTTCCTTCAAATAATATTTCATGATGTTGGTTTTGACAGATAAGTAAAAGGGCTTTGCAGAATTCAGTTTTTCAGCTTTGCAGTTTCACACTCTAGAGTAACATTTTCTTATTCCTATCTGCAAAGGCCTGCGGGGTTGACTTTGAAGTGAAAGCTTTCTGTGCAGAAAACGTTGAAGAAAAAATCCACAAAAGGTACAGCCTTTCACAATGGCACCCAACCGAGTAACTGACACAAAGCAACACATAAAACATAACCTTTCTTTGAAACATTTCTCGGAATGTGTTTTTGGAAAATGTGGGAGACAAACGAGACAGAATGATTTTCGATTGAATACATTTGAGAAAGTGTCTTATTATGATTGCTAATTTCATTTCAGATTCAAATGAGTGGTCTGTCTAACAGGCAGTAATACAAGATTATTTATTATTCGTTTTGTTACCGTTACTGTTTTAATAATCACAACCAGCCTCACACAATTTGAGCCAAGAAATGATACTTATACAGGGTATTCTGTTGAGGAATGATGTGCTATTACTCTTAAATGATCAGAGTTAAGATAAAATGTCTGAAAACAAACACAAAGCAACATGCTCGAAAACCACTCACGTTAGCTACACATCACACTGTCCTGGCAACCACTCACAGCATAGATTTCGTAAAAGTCAATAAATGTCACACATTATGATATGTATGCCCCATTAACTGCCATTTTACAGGAATTCAGTGCGTCTTGTCATCAGAAAAGTGCAGTATGCTCCAGAGAAGCCGGGCCCACAGCCAATGGCTGAAACCACAAGGCAGTTCCTCATGTCAGATAAACCTTTACACCTGGAGGCCTCACTTGACAAAGAGGTAGGATTGTCTGGTTACTCAATATCTGACTATTGAGAAAAGACAACATCACAGATGGAGTTCTGTTTATTAGTAACCCAAGTTAATCCAATGACAACGGGTACATCTAGTGATAGAACCAGGGTATTACAACTGAAATCCTGCAGGCACAATGTTACTTGTAGAAGTAATAGTATTTATTATTAATAATAATAATAATAATATATATTTTTTAATTTACTTTTCTTTAAAAAAAAAAAAAGTTCTGTTAACCTTATGAAAACTCATGCAGACATTATTGAAGCTTTAAACAAAAGATAATAAACATTTGGCATGGATGTATAATTCACAGAAATCTTGAATCTGAAAATTAATTCGATTTATTTAGTTATAGTTTTAGACCTGGGATTTCAGTATGTCCTTAATGACTTTTGGCATGTTATTAAATATAATGCCTGCTCATTGTTGCATAATTTATAGATATACCTGGGAACACTAACTGAACAGAATAGAAACAGAATCACTCAAAAATTATTAAAAAAATTATATACATGTGTGTATATATATATATATATATAT